CCGCCAGCTGGCCTCGGTGTGACATGGGCTGAAGGGCCCTCCCTGGTGACCCAAATGCCCAGTTCCTGTCCTTGTGAGGCCTGGGCAAGTCACCTCCCATCTCTGAATCTCAATTTCCACAAGTGGAAACTGGGGCTCAAAACCTCCTCACAGGTTGTCGTGAGGACTGATGGCCAAAGTGTACCTAAAGCACCAGGCCTTACCTGGCACCCACTGGGTGCTGGGCACTGGCACCTGGGGCAGAAGAATGTGACTCACTGCTGCCCCCAGGAGGCCATGCGCTGGAATAGCAGTTCTCAATCTGCGAGGATGAAGGTTTTAATTTTTTTTACTTCCAGCTCTTCCCTTCCTTTCGGCATGACCTTGAGCAAGTTGTCCTTCCCTTCTGAGCCTCACACTCCTCATCCAAAAAACAGGGACAGTCACATCGCCTACAAGGTTATAGGGGGTGAAGCCAGGTGAAGTAGGAGAAACACCTGGTACACAGCAGGTGCCAAATAAATGGCAGTTGTTATTATCAATAGTATGCTCTTATGGGTCTGAGCTTCTGCAAGACAGTCAGGCCACACTGTAAAGTGCTGTGCACGTGAGCTGCAGGGTTATGAGGGTCACGTCTAGGCTGAGCTGGGGCTCCAGATGTTGGGATAGGAATCACAGAACATAGAACTCAGGGCAGAAGGCACCTTTGAGTCCTCTAGTCCAGTCATTCCCATTTCTGGTCAGCCCAGGCAGGCTAGACACAGGCCACTTTTCGGCTCCCAGAGCCCCTGACCCAAATTATTTAGGAATGGGGTGTAAGCACCTGTATTTTAAACAAGCTTCCTTGGTAATTCTGTTTGATAATTATTTTTTAAGGCTATTTCCCAGAGTAGAAAATTCCAACAAAACTAAAAGTTACCCGATAAAAGAGGAAAATAAGTGGGGTTTAAGATCACTGTACGTCTTGGATGAGTCCTTCTCCTTCTCTGGGCTGCAAGTTCCCCAAACCTCCTAGCAAGGAAGTTAAATTAATGAACTCTAAGCTCTCCTCTGGCTTTGGTGTTTGCGATGGTTCGAGTGCAGTGTGTGACCTGCAAGCAGCCATCAGAGGGGAGGAGGCCGATGTGAGCCTACAAATGGCTGAGCCAGGACTGTTGTGGGTTTCAGTGACAGGAATTCAATTCACAGGGGCTTAAGCAAACATTAAAAAAAGAGGGTGCTGGGCCGGC